AAGTTCTACTTTTCAGCAAGCAAGGTTGTGTCATCTGCATTACACAAGATGCTGATGAGTCTTTCTCCTATCCTGATGATACTTTCTTCTTCATAGAGTCCAACTTCCTGAATGATCTGAATAGGTATAGTGAAAGAATAAAACCTGGCACACACCTTTCCTGATTTTAAAGCATGCAGTATTCTCTGCTTTGTTCAGATAACAGCTTCTTGGTCTTGCTATAGGTTTCATATGAGCATAATGCAGTGTTCTGGGATTCCCATTCTTCTCAGTGTTAGCCATAGTTTATTGTGATCAAATGATTTTTATATATTACAGCAATGTGAAACAAGAGGTGGGCTGGGGAGAGGGAGGAAAATAGGGGCAGAAAAAATGTGCAACAGTGAATTAAAAAAAATACTAAAATGTTTTTGTTTGCATAGTCAATAAAACAAAGACCATCATTCTCTGCTTTAGCCAGAATCCATCTGACATCGGTAATGATATCCCTGGTGTCATGGCCTCTTCTAAATCCCGCTTAACTTTCTGGCAGTTCTCTGGCAGTATACTATATTAGTCATTTTTGGATAATCTCTAGCAATATTTGGCTTGCATGTGATACTTATGATATTATCCTAAAATAACCAGCCTTCTGCTGGATTTCCCTTTTTGGGGAATGGGAATAAATACGGAATTCTTCTAGTCCCTCAGCCAAGCTGCTGTCCTTCAAATTTTCTGGTATAGCCCAATGATGACATCCAAAGCTGCATCTGTTATTTAAAACATGTCAACTGGTATTCATTAATTCTTTGGGCCTTATTTTCTACCAATGCCTTCAATGCAGCTTGAACTATTTCTTTCATTACTATTGGCTTTTGTTCATAAAGTATTTCCTGAAAATCTTCAGTGTCAATTCTTTTTGCTTCATTTATTCTGTGTATTCCTTCCATCTTCTTTTTTTATACTAGTTTATTTACAAAAGTTTAATACATTATCACACCAGATCCTTCCCATTTCCCTCACACACATCCTCATCAAATTGTACAGCCCCATGATTAATCTTCTTTTGATATTCCTGGATCATTCAAGAATGTGCCTATAGCATCCCTCAGTATCGCAACTCAAAGCTTGAATTTGTTTTTTAGTTCTTTAAACTTTAGAAATGTTGAGTAAGTTCTTTCCTTTTTATTCCCCAATTCTACTTCTTTGCATATTCCATTATAATACTTTGCTTTGTCTTTCTGAGTTGCCCTTTTGAATTCTTCTATAATGATCTGTTCTCTTCAGGGATGATATTACTAATGTCATTCCACAACTCATCCCATCTTCTACAACTAGTGTATAAACACTCAAACCTATTCTGTAGATGCGTTTTAAAATCAGGTGGGATATATTCAAGGTCATATTTTGATTCTTATAGACCTGTTTTAATTTTCTTCAGTTTCAACCTGAATTTACACATGAGTAATTGATGGTCTCATCCTCCATCAGCACCTGGCTTGGTTTTCATTGCTGATATTGAACCTCTCCAATAATCCTTTCCACAGATGTAGTTAATCTGATTCCTGTCCAGTCCATCTGGTGAGGTTCAAGTGTAAAGACACCTTTTGTGGTAATGGTTTGTTTTTTTAAAAAAATGTATTTGTAAGAAATAAATCGCTGAGCATACAAAATTCAATCATTAAATGTCCAGCCTCATTTTTATCACCAAGACCATACTTTTCAACTACCATTCCTTCCTCCTTAGAGTATGGGGGGAAAAAAATGAAAGTAAGGCTAAAGAAGTATGATCAGAGCGGAGGAGACGCCTACCAGATCACACAGACCCTCAGTTACCTAACTTACAAGAGTTAGGTGTCTCTGAGGGATTTTAGGTAGGTAGATGGCATTTTCAAGTAATCACTCTAACAGCAATGAGAAAGACCGTTTGAAAGGAACAAGGGTGACTGCAGGGGACTGTTTAGCCTTTACTTAACACAGTGAATAGCTAGAAGGTGGAGCAAACAAAGGCTGAGCTGAATTTTCCCAACCTACCCTTAACAGGTGGAAGCAGGAACGGCATCCACTTCCAAAATGGCTTGCCTCCGTAAACTCTATGTACGAACAGTGCTCAGGCTGTTCATTCATAGGGTTGCTATGAGTCGTCTACGACTCGACGGCATTAAACAACAACAAACACCCTTGACAGAGCTCTGGATTATCAGACATTGGCTTAACAATAAATATAGAAATAAGATTCACTGGGTGACTGCTGTTCCTTGCATACAGCACAAATATTACCTTAAAAGGAGTGGAGGTACCTGAACTCTGAGCCTATTCCAGAGACAGAAGAGAAATATAACTGCCAGCTAAGGAAACAAAGGTGGATGGAGCCTCAAAGTTCAGCCAGCCACTTGCCCTGGACTCACTCACCCAAACCCCTTGCAGTCTAGAGGGCGGAAAACATAATGAAAATATCTCCTAACTGAAAAAGAAGGCATACAGCTTCAATTCAAGACCACCAGTAAAGTGTTAAGAGTGGGCTTCCCTTCCCCTTCATCTCAATATCCCTGTTCAGCATGAAGCAGCCAACGAGTCTACACCTCTATCCCAAATGGGAAACTCACAAATGAAAAAAGACAACCTCTTTTGTAAAAATAAAATACAATAATAAGTACATAATCACCATTGGACTATGCCCACCATTACCCTTTTTCCAGTCCCCATTGGATCTTTCTCATTTACTCCACCCACTCCCTCTACCTATTAAATTGTTCAACCCTGTGATTTCACTCCTACCCATCCTCACCCTTTGGCTCTCACCACTTACACTCTTAGATATTTATGCATGATGTTTTACAATTTAAAAAAACATATTAAGGGAGAAAAGAAAAAATTTAAAAAAAAACAAGAAGAAGGGGTAGGGAAAAGGAGGTACATAGGATTTAAGCAGTTATATCCCCAAAATCACATTTAACACCAACTTTAGACTCTGTATCTATTCATTCATTAAGGGGTAGATAAGTATTCTCACTTCGATTTTACAAATGAAAACAAGATGGCACAGTCAGACTAGAGTTCAAGTCTCTGTGACTCAAAAACCTTGCACCCAAAACATGACCACCTCGAGAGATTCTGAGACATGGATTGGTATTTCTCTAATTAGAAACCTGGTTATCCAAAGGAGAACAATTTTTTGTTTATTTTTAAAGACTTAGTTGTAAAATTCTCCAATGGCTCTACCACTTTCTAGCCAAGGTACTATCCCCTTCCCAAATGTCACCTCTCACACGTATAAACAGATTAAAGCCATGGTGAGCTGAGGCAGGGCAGGTGAAGTGCACGTGATTGATGCAGAGTGTGTGTGCCTCTATAGCTGCAGATTCCAGTCAAGTTTTTAGCAGACCTGGCTTATTCTGTTGGGGTTCAGTGGTGCAAAAGGGAAAAATGCTTCAGAGAGCAGTATTAGGGATGCTGATTTGTGTTAGCATTAAGGAACCTCTTCTAACCCTGAAATGGGCAACAATGGCCTGGAACTCTGTGGAACAGGCACAAACAACTAAAAGAGAAGCCATATAAAGAACAGGGAACTGATGAGCAAATGTCAAAGCTAACCTGTAGAGTACAGGCTTTCTTAAGAAATGTAATTAGATCTAAATTTTTAAACATCACAAGGTACAGAATTTACATTTTGGGCTTTAGCTGACAGTGTGAAAAATGTGAGGACCAGATCTTGCATGGGAGCAATCCACGGAGCTTAGGAGGTCCGTTGGCTCAGAGGGGAGCTCACATCCCATCAAAGCTGACTGCGCTTTCCCCTGGCACACTTCACCCAAATACATGCCTGCGTTGTCCACAGAGAGAACTACATTTGGGGGGGAGGGGGATTTAAGCTCTAAATTTTTAAAATTTAAAGCTTTTAAATTTTTGAAAACCTTAAAAGATAACTACTTAAAATATACAGAGCAGGATTCTAATGTGTAGAGAATCTTTCATTTCTCAAGCTCCAACTCTGGTCACATGACACTCTAATAAGATAACCAGATTAGTCACTGGGTATGTCCCCTAAGACAGAGTCACCAGGTCCAAGAGTAGCTAGAATGTAATAAGGTACCTTCACCTAAATAGTTATCTTGCCAACTATGACCAGCTAGAGTACCCAAGAGGGCTCAAATCATATTAGGTGCGAGAGACTGGAGATGGGTTAGCTTCTCTAAGCTCATCAACAGAATACTTCAATAGTTTTTTTTTTAACAGGAAAAATGTCTACTAGGCTCAGTCTACTAATGAATAAGAAATATTAGCATTCATAGCTTTTGCCAAGCCTCTTGAGTAGGAATTCTCAGCTGTAAATCTCCAACATGTGCTGGAAGAGATGAAAAATTATATTGAATGCACATCATTTTTTTCTTAATCCTCACAGTAACTGAAAAAGAGAAACAGAGGCACAGAGAAATGAGGGAAAAGTCTTTCTGACTCTGAAGCCTCTAATGATAGGGTAGGAAGACTGAAAAAGGAGAAGTATTGCTCCTAAAGGATTCATTTTTTTACAAAAATTTACAAATATGCTTAATGTTTCTCCTTTCGTGTAAGGAAAAGAACTTCCATTATTTTCTCAAATAGGAATGACCCCAAGAAGGTATAATGAAAAAAAAAAAAAAATAGAGTTCAAACTCAACATACAAACAGCAGAGTTACAGCTACAACAGTACTTCTTAAGCTGTTGTATAAACAGACGAGATAGCTCTGATTTTCCCTGGCAGTTTGACAGCCCCTTGTGGAGGCCCCAGGAATAACTCTCAAAGAAAGCTATCTCCCTAAACCCTTTCTATGTAATGGGATTGCATGAGGCTTTGCTGACATTCCCTCACAAACACTACCATGCAGCCTAATTACTGAACTGCATGACTGGCAAGGCCCCTTTCAAGCTTTTTGAGAAGCTCTCTCAGGTAAATGACACTGCACTTACATTTAAATCAATTTAGCAAAATGAGTTTGTCCTCCTCTCAAGTCAGAAAGAGAAAACAATACCCAGTATGTACCTGGATTCTAGTAACAAAGTGGCCTTTTCATTAAAGAAAGGGCCAAGCAGGTGCATCAGCTCTCCTCCCTCGGGGCGCTGGTCTCCAGGGCAGTCAGGTTTGAGGGTTCCATCGTAGTCTAAAATATTGGAGTCCATGTGCCATAAGTATCCATTTTTACAGCCTCCTTTGAAAGAATCTTCCATAATCTGCGAGAAGAAGTATGTGGTCAAACCATGGGGGCGCACTGGGGATGGGGTGTCAAGAAGGTCTATGGAAGGTACAGAAAGGACGGAGGTGGTGAATAAGTGAGCCAAGTGTAAGTGGGTGGAGACCCAGAGTTTGAGACAAAAAGATCAAGAAGGTGGAAGAAGAGAGAAGGGAGAGCGACCCAGGCACACAGGCTCACATGCAATCACCCGAAGGCAGGGGGGAGCATAAAGATGATTATGTCTCTTGTGATCCTCAATTTCCTGGCCTCTAAAATGGGAATAGTTAACGTTCACCCCCGCAAGGTGTCTTGACTTGCTACAAGGCACACTGGGTAGGCATTTCCCCACCCCACAACTCCTTGTAAATTCTTTGCAGGGAGCCTAAGGAAATATATCATTAACAGTGCTTTATTTGGACATTTATTATACATTGCAATTTACTCTCCTTTTTATATATCAAAAAGTAGACTTTCTCTTTACAAATGCATCCTAATTAACATGACTTTGATTTGTTTCAAAAGGTGGAGAGTTCCTAATTCCCAGGAAGACGTTTATTTATGAATCCACCTTCCCGGATCACTGAGGGTCTCACAGGAGTGGAAGCAAGGAAGAATCTAGTTAAAACCTGTGCTGGGCATGTCTTGAGGTGTTGCAATTAACATTCTTTCTCCCCAAAGCTATAAATTTCCTCCACTCTCTATAAATAACTCCTCTTGACTTCATTACTGCTGGTGATACATACACTAACCATCACGACTCTCCACACTTGTAAAACGATGAAGATTTTGAAATGGAAGACAGGACCCACACAAATGAGCTGTTATTTATAGGGTCTTGTTTGCCAATCTAGTTCTTAAACCCATCAAAGAAGCAATCTTCAAAGAAGGAAAAGTCTAGAGTATAATAATAAAAGTAGTAATTCTTACTATTTTAAACATTACAATACTACTAACAAAGAAGTATTATTATCCCCACTGATGCGGTAAATTCATCACATATAGTAGACTGACTGAAACCCAGGCGTATTTGACTCCAAGGCCCCTATTTAATTGTATTGGCCCCCAAAACTATCTACATTTTAGTGGTCTTTTATTCATGACTCCATGCATTTTAATACCACACAAAGCTACAAATGGCAAATCTGTAACTTCCTATCTCCCATCAGATTCTGGTTCAGTCAACTTTGGAGATGGTTTGCTCTGAATCTCAATGTAACCAGAGGAAGGTTCTAGATGGACAGGCAGAGGGAAGATTCTCACAAGGCTCAGAATTCACTGAGCTAGGTTCCAGATGGCCTTGATAAGGGGAGCCTGGTTCTGTCATTAGTTTTTTAAATTATAATAAAAATGATAAGGGAGCTCACAGCTGTCCCAAGACAAGAGCTCTTATCTTAGGTCTATTTCTGACTCACTGTAATGGGGATAAATCACCTCCCTTCACAGATCATGGTTCCTTACACATGAAATGAATGGGCTGGAGTAGATCTCTAAAAATCTGGACAGTCCAGTAGCAGATACTTGTTCTTCTCCTATAACCACATTTTTTATTTTCTTCACAGCATATACCAAAATTTGCAAGTGTATGTTTGCTTTCATCACGCCTAAGTGGCTTTCTCACTGAGTTGGTGACTCCTAGGAGGGAGAGACACAGCCTTCCGCTTTTCACCAGCACACGGCCGCCACGCAACATGCGCACCACAAACACACAGCCCTCTAAATTCAGGCAAGTCTGAGAGAAGGCGTTTGAGACTGGGCAAGCGGGCATGGACTAGGGAGTTAACTATCCATTTCATACCTCATTGCTCTGCTGCAGATGTTGGTCACTAAGAACATTCTTCTTGTCGTCTTCTCCTCTTTGGTCTGCATTCTCTTGGCTAGCCAGAAGCTACATGGTGCATGCAATGGTGTGAAAATGCAACCCAAAAAAGTGTGCAGAATGAATAAGTATGAATAAATCAGTGAGGTCTTCTTTTAAAAGAAAAAAAAAATGCACAACAAAAACCAAATAGCGGGGGGGGGGGGGGGGGAATGCCAAAGCCATGAAATAAAAATTAACCAAAGTTAGAATTGTTAATTCAGGCAAATCACACACAGCTGCCTGAGATCAAGTATAATTTAAAGACAGATTCCCCAAGAAACTGCCAAAGCCATTTCGCCCGAGCCAGCCCTTGCATGGCCTTCTCTGATCTGCTTTAAATTGAATATGCCAACTGTTATGTGCAGCCATTCCTGCTTTTGCTAAATTCACTTTCAGATTATATAAAAGTAACAAGATTTTTGAAAATAGCTATTGATGGAATTGAAAATACCAAATAGCGAGAAAGCAGTAAATGAAATTTATGGTGTGCTCAATTTATGCATCACTTCTCCTATTTAGTATAGCACATAAAACCTCTTTTCTGACTCAGACATCTGAGATGGACTGCCCCAACAACACAGTCATTTTGCTGACAAAAGTCCTCACACTAATGGGCAGAGTATCAAGCTTGCCTGATAACTGTGCTCTTGGAAACGAAGGAGGGTGATTTATAAAGGTGACATAAATTCCTAATACTTTAAAGAAGTGTAAATCCCAAAGCTTCAGCACACTGCATTCAGTAGAGAAGACAGTGCAGAGTTCTCAAGATAGCAGAAGCTCAGTTAGCTATCTGAGAGAGTGAAATTTCCAGTTAGGGGGTCCCTTGGATTAATCAAGTTAAAAATGGGAAGAAAGGGGAACAGGCTGAGGGAAGAAAACCTGAGTCAAAGTTCTTTCAAAAGTCTACCAAACTTCAAGTGCTGAAATCACTAACAGGGAGGGGTCACTTACTAGGCATGTTTTGGAAGAAGGAAAAATTTTTTTTAGAAAAGCAAACTATTATTCTTTGTAATAAAAGTTTTTCTTTATAGAAATAACCTGGAGTCAGAATATTCAACCCAACCACATTCACATATGCAATCCAGATCAATCAGAACTGAGGGTTAAAAAAAAACCAAAAATAACAGATCTTGCTCTACTAGCATTTAGGCACTGAACAACTGCTTAATACTTGAAAGCCAGTATAGCTGTAATTTGCTGCTGCTAAGCACAGTAACTACATGAAGCAAAGATCAAACTACTGCCAGCCCAGCCCTCTGACACCTTCACAAGCCTGCTACGCTCAAGCCCAGTGCTGTGGCCACCTGTGTGCTGAGTGCCTGCCAACCTAGAGAGCTCACCTTCCAACACCACGTTGAACCATATTCGGTTCTGACTTATATTGTTTCATTAGCTAACTTTCTGAAGCGGATCACCAAGCCTTTCTTCCGAGTCTATCTCAGTCTGGAAGTTTCGTTAAGCACTACACCATAAATGGTCCTGTTGGTAACATGCAGTCCCTGACTTAGAATATATTTGAGTTGCAACACAAATCACATGCAAGCTATATGTTTTAGAGAAGTTTTTGGTACATTTTATAATTAGTAATATTGACTACATATAATGTGACAGCATATAATTTGCTGATGTTCTATTTTTATTCTATTTTTTTCTGACATTATATTTTTAGATGTTCACTTGTAGATGAATGCTATGATTTACTGTTAAAAATACTACCATATATCAAGCTACGAAAACGAAAAAAGAAAACAGGAATGTGAGTTACATAAGAAATTACTTACAACAGCATCATTGGAACAGAACTTCTTCAGCAGTCAGAGACTACCCACTTAGCATAATTGGTCACTAGCCTCTATTCTCTACTTCACTTTAATCGTAGTCTATACACTCACATCAGCCTAATCTGAAATAGTGATGGCTTAGATTTCAGCATTATAGCAACATGCAAGACATTATAGTATGACAAATCAATAAAGAGAGGCTGTTGTTATGTGCCATTGAGGCAGAATTGACTCCTACCTGGCCATCCAGCAAATTTTCAGAGGCTGTACGGTGCATAGAAGGAGACTGTCCACCTATTTCCCAAAGAGCGGCTGGTGGATTTGAACCACTTGCTTCTAGGTTGGCAGCTCCCTTGTAAGGATACTTGTTATGTGCTGTCAAATTGCCTGCAATTCATATTGACCCTATGTACAACAGCTCTGAAGCCTGCACTGTCCTCAGCCAGTCTCACTGACTCCAACACACCTACCCCCATCGCCCCAGTTATTGTATCAATCCATCTCGTCCACAGTCTTCCTTTCCTGAGCTGCCCCTCCACTCTTCCAAGCAGGATGTCCTTCTCCAAGGACGGTTCTCTCCTGGCTAAAGTATGTGACATGGAGCTTCAAAATCCTAGCCTCCAAAGAGAAACTTGGTTTCACCTTCTCCAAAACAGACCTATTTGTTTTCTTGGCAGTCCAGGGTATGTTCAAGACTTTTCTCCAATACCACAACTCGAAGGCATCGATTGATTCTTCTTTCATCATCCCTTTGTCACTGTCCAGCTAGTTGATGCATAGCAAGTAACTGTGAAGACCATGGCCTGGATTGAGCTCACTTTAGTCTCTAGATTGACATCATTGCTTCTCAGCATTCTGGAGAGGTCCCTGACGGCAGATTTTCCCAGTGCAATTCATCTTTTGATTTCCCAGTTACTGGTGCCAAGAGTATTGATTGTGGAGCCAAGCAAGCTATAATTGTTAACTATTTCAATCTCCTCTCCATCTATCATGGTGGATACGAGATATATAAAAATATATTCACTAAGACATCCATCTAAGTTTATAAATATGTAAAGATATCTAAACTTCAAGTACTTCTTCTTCTCAATAGTAAAATTTTCTCACGTGATGTAGAATCAATGAGAACTAACATTATAGAAGTATAAAATGTTAAGCCATTTTGGAAAATGTATCAGCATTTTTTTTTTACCAGCAATTTTTTTATAAAATTACTCAATCACCTCTCAAGTCTATTCTCTTAAATATTTGTGGTTGTTGTTGCTGACGGTCTTCGAGTTGAGAATGGCTCACAGCAACCCTATGAACAAAAATCCTGAAGCCCCTTTACAACTACAGACATTTATCACAGTTCATAGAGTTTCTGGAGGCATGTTGTTTAGGGAGTGGATGCCATCCCGCTTCCAAACTTGTCATAGTTATACTGTTGTTATGTGCTGCTGAGTCACCTGCGACATATAGCAGCAACTCTATGTACAGCAGCTCTGAACCCTTCCGACACACCAACCTCAATTGCCCCAGTTACTGTATTAATCCATGTCATTCGGGGTCTTCCTCTCCTGCACTGTCTGTCCACCTTTCCAAGCATAATGTTCTTCTCCAGGGATGGGTCTCTCCTGGTTACATGCCCAGAGTATGGGAGGCAGAGCTTCAAAAGCCTAGCCTCCAAGGAGAGACTTGGTTTCACCCTCTCCAAGACAGACCGATTATTTTCTTGGCAGTCCATGATATGTTCAAGACTCTTCTCCAGCACCACAACTTGAAGGCATTTACCAAGTATAATAAAACAAATCAAAATCAAATTACGGTTACCCATGGTGGACAGTGGTTGGTGGAGCTCCCAGTTTAAGACAGATTTGGAAGCAGGAGTGGCATCTACTTCCTAAACATGCCTCTGGATACTCTATGAATTTTGATAAATGACAATAATTACAGAAAAGCTTCAGTCCTTTTTTTCTTACACGGTCGACTCATAGGGTCGCTATGAGTCATGTTCAATTTGATGGCAAACAACAAAAACAACAATAAAATAAACAGCTAACAAATTGTAGAATACTACTTGGCAGTATAAAGGAACAAATTACTAGCTCAAATACATTAAACTGTATGCAAGGAATTTTATGTAAAGGAATGCATACTATATGATCTATGTATATACAGATCTAATACAGGCAAGATTAGTCCATGATGGAGGAAAATTAGAAGAGTAAGAGTAGCTTTGACCCTATATAGGGTCACATGGACTCTTGATAAATGTTTGCACTACACAGGTAAAAGTTAGCCAATGTACCCTGAGCAAACTATTGTCAACAAATGTCATTCCAATTTGTTGAAATGTTAAAAGCACAAGGTTTTTTTAGCATTTCTAGATTCACAATCATGTCATTATTCAATACACTCAAATAATCATCTTTCTCTTTACCCTACCTGATTTGGTCAAAATTAAGGACTGGTCAAGAAAGTACATGTATGGGCACTATGTCAAGATGGTTAATTTAATTTTCAAAGGCTTAGAACAAGATGTTAAAAAAGTCTATGAGACTCTGTAACTGGTATAAATACATAACATTTACATATAAATTAGTCTCTATAACTGCATTTGTTCCATCAGAGTATTCACCATACCTTATGCTTCTTGGAATTACCGACTAGAGAGTGAGGTCACTAAAGACAGGACCAGGTTTTAAAACCAGTGTACAAGAAGCTGCACTGCAATCCCAGAGGTACATGGTTTGAATCCACCAGATGCTCTGCTGGAGAAGAAGGGGCAATCTCCTCCTGTACCAATCAGATCCGATTTGATGGTACACACACAAATAATAAAAAATTTTAAAAAAACAAACAAACCAGTGTGGTGGTCAATCAATCACTGCTGGAAGACTTTTCCACTATGAGAGCTGGAAGCCAAAGATTTTCACAATTACCTGTAGCCTTGTTACACAAGGATTACTTCCTGGGATAAATGAAAACACATCTTTTGAGAGCTTGTTAGATTATCAGACTTCACTCCAGGCTCACTGAAACACAATCTACATTCCCAGGAAATTCACATGAACATTAAACTTTAGAGGTGCAACCTTACTAGCACAGAGCACAGAGTGCAGGCAGAAACAGGATCATGGTTACAACATGGAACTTACTAAAATAATAATCTAAATATAGTCCTATTTTCTATGCCAGGCACTGTGCTGATGACATTATAAATCATAATTTATAACAATTTAAAAAGTCAAATTATTAAAAAAG